TTATCGAGAATCGACTCTATACCTTTACCGATAAACAAAAGAAAAGAAAAAGAAACTTTCTTCATAAACGATAAAAAGGCATTCCCAATGACTCTTCCGGGTGATTTTTTTTTTTACTAATTCGTCCGAATAAATCCTTTAACTCATACAAAACGAAAAGAAACAACGCGTTTTGTAATGAACAGATACACCCACGAAACCGGGACTTCCATAATTCGGAGAAGACGAATAGGAAAAAAAATATGAAAAGATGAAGGAAATGCAAGTGAAGATGAAGATTTTTAAAAAACATATTTCGATGAAGTCAAAAAGAATGTATGGTGACTGAGAAATATGACATCATAATCAAACTCAAAGGAGGCGAAAAGGAGAAAATAAATGGAGATGAAAAAATATGAATATGTAGTTTCAAGGGAAAGTGAATAGATAAATAATCTGAGAAAAACATTCTATGCAATTCGAAGAAGGGAAAGAGAAGAGAATACGCAATATGAAGAGAATGAAGTACGGAAATTAAGAAACGTGAAATATATAATTCGAAGAAGACGAAGATGAAGAAATATATGCGGCGTGAGTGTCCGTGTTGAGCGCATGCGCGGGTGTGCTGCCAGACGCCAGGATACACACACCACCTTCACTCTCTCTCGGTTTTTTTCATTTATTTTCCGACATGGGTGAACCACAGAGTGCTCTGCTCCTCCGGAAACAGTTAGCAGGTAAATTTAACGTGAACAGATTCTGGTAATGTGCTTCATGGGATATGTTTGTGTGCAAATTTTCAGTTGCAATAATAGTAAATGTCCTTCACGCAGACGATGGTTCGTGTGTAGAAACAAAGCATGTGTGTTTAGCATTTGTATGGAATTAAGGCATAATAGAGACATTTGTACAAAACAGGTTATCTCAAGAGTATGGTATATGCACTATGAGTGATATAACAAGCGGGACGAGGTGAACCCTTAGAGCACAGGTTCAATAGGTCTTTGTGTGTTGTTTCAGGGTCACACGATACAGTATTTAAGTGTTTGTCGAGATATTTGGCTCTTAATAACACTCAAACTGGTTCCTATGACTCGCTCACTGTCATATGTGGGAGGTATGGTTGCCTGTTTTCCATCGTGGAGGATCTAGAAGCATATGTGGAAACCTCATGTTGATGTGAAGTGCATTGTGAAATCACTTCCTTCCTCAGAGTGAATGTCTCTCTTTAAAGCTTGAGGATTTCTTATATCTCAAGCCCATTTTATATTCATCAGAACTAGCCTTCTAGAAGTCCAACTAACCAATGGCCTCCAGAGTAAGCTCGTGACCGTAAAAACAAGGATTTGTTGGCCATGCGGCTCATAGCTCGAAGACCCCCCAAAGGTGAAAGAGGCATACCATTATTGCTGGTGAATATACGATACCACGGGGTGGATAGAATTATCATTTTCTATTTTACTGTGTAGATGAAATGCAAATGTGAAACAGAGAAGTATATTTTACCATTATATTGATAGTTTCTGTTCATGTTGCAAGGACAGGCATGAGTGTGGAGTGTGTAATGCATATTCAAATTTATGAAGATTTCAATTTCCGTTATTATTATTACTTTTTTTGCTTCTCTTTCTCTTTCTCTCTCTTCTCTGTCTCTCTCTCTCTCTCCTCTCTCTCTCTCTCTCTCTCTCTCTCTCTCTCTCTCTCTCTCTCTCTCTCTCTCTCCTCTCTTCTCTCTCTCTCTCTTCTCTTTCTCTTCTCTCTCTCTCCCCTCTCTCTCTCCTTCTCTCTCTCTCACTCTCTCTCTTCTTCTCTCTCTCTGCTCTCTCTCTCTCTCTCTTTCTCCTTCTCTCTCTCTTTGTCTCTGCTCTCTCTCTCTTTCTCTCTCGTCTCTCTCTCTCTCTTTCTGTCTTCTCTCCTCATTTCTGTCTCTCTCTCTCTCTTTCTGTCTCTCTCTCTCTCTTCCTTTGTCTCTCTCTCTCTTTTTCTGTCTTTTCTGCTTCTTTCTGTCTCTCTCTTCTCTT